AAGTTAATTTAAGTTTATATAATTTATGTGTATATCCTCTATTTTTTGTATTTTAGGCAAATGCATTTTCAGTTTTAACTTTAAATTCGCCTGGTAATGGCAGCTATTATTTTCAATGTGTTTCTAATTATATTTTCCCTCTACTTTTTTACAATTTTCATAATAGGATATTGAGAATTGTTTCTTTGGGTGTAAGTTTTTTAAAATGATTTTTATTAATCACTAAATTTATCAAGTATCTAATTTCTCTAAGAAGCAATACAACTTTTTAGAGTTTTCCAGTTCGACATATCCCATCTAAAGATGCTTCCAGATGGTCTGGATATGTTTTTGATGTTATAAATATTCTTGCAGATAATTTAAATTTTAGGTAATATAAAAAAAAATGCCTATTTTTATTTATATATAATATAAACTGTAATATTGATATTTTAAAAATGTAATACGATTGCTATTTCTAGTTATGTTGTTGAAGATCAAAAAGATAAAATTTATGGAATAGAAAAAAATGGAAAATGGAATGGAATGATTGGAAAACTCATAAATGATGTAATATATTCAATTTTGCATTTTAATTAATAAAATGATTGTATAATTTAAGTTTACTTTTCTGTAGTGGCAATAAATTTTCTATTTAATTAAGATAATTTATAAATCAAATTTATTATTTAAATAATAATTTTTAAGAACTGCTAGTTTGCTCATTGGTGATTTATGTACCAACATAAATCCTTAAATGTGACATTTCTTTACATCAATTCAAAAACATTATATCTAATCTATAAATATATATTTATATATATTTAAGCTAAGTATTTTATATATTATTTAATACATAAAATACTTAGCTTAAAATCATCATAATACTTTTCTTTGTCCTAAAATAAAAACAAAAACAATAGAAATGGTGGCTCTAGGAATTGAAGAATTGTCATGAAATTTAAATTAACATATATAACTTGAGTAGTAGATAACTTTTAGTAGTCATCTTGAGGACTTTTAGTAGTCATCTTGAGGATGACTACTAAAAGTAGTGAAAACATTAGTTTTTGCTAATAAATTTTGCTGGATGTCATGAAATTTTTGAACGAATCAGTGAAGCAAGTGGAACAAAGCCTCCTAGTTAATATATAATAAATGTATTAATAATGAGCAATTATTAATTGTGACATCGTCACAATGCTGGAGTGCAATTTTAATCATATTTTTAATTTATTTAATTTAAAATATATGCTTCTCCACCTTAAATTAGTAGTGGCTTGTCCCTATACATCATACTTTTCCTTTAAGAATAGAGTCGTGCTCTCATCTATCACCTTTTTAGAGAAAAATTTTTGAATTGAAATCAATGATAGTGTAGATTGTAAGTTTGTATATAGTTAATTGGGGCTTCCTGCTCTTAAGGTTTCCATACCTGGTCTCTACTTTCATCTATCTAACTACATTCTCGAGATTAAGGAAAGACAGACAAACAGATGGATGGCTGGGATTTATAGGTCTACATTTTTTCAAATTGCAGCCCAATGAAAATAAAAGACATACATTGAGTAAAACAGATTAAAAAGCAAACCATAANATGAATGAATTGCATTATATCCATCTTAGAAAAAAAATATATATAATGAAATATTTATTTATGCAGAAAATTTGATTTACAGAACATTTAACTAATAAGTTTTTTTTATTAAAACTTTGATCTTACTAATACATGGAAGCAATTACTACAAGATATGTGTTATATATTTAGGTAGATTTAATATATTCATGAAATAAACAGTTCTAAATTAAACCTCTAAATGTTTAATTTAGAACTGTTTGTTTTTGAACTTTTTATTAAGAGATTTTGATATCAAATTTGTCACATGTTCTGAGAATTTACTATATTATTTTATAAAGAAAATAGTTATATAAACAGAATTATCATATATATTTCTACAAGAAATAATATTTTTTAATGAATATTAGTATTTTGAGTCTACTTTTATTGTATGAGACATAGGTAAATTTTTTCTGCTGCTTGTTGATAATTTATGTAAATTTTCATTCTAAAAAAGTTAAAAAATAGAAAAGCAGTTGTTATAATAACAACTGCTTTTCTATTAATTAATAAAATTTCCTAATACATTTCATTACATTTCAAAACTGTTGATTAAAATTCATATAAAAATAAAATTGTTATGTGAATAGTACATTAATATAATTATACACTTCCATATTCATCTATTCAATTTGTGTGAAAAGAGTGTGTGTGTTAACAGATACATTATAATCTGAGTAATATTTCTGAAGATGTGATATTTAATAACTGTTTAATTTCTGATATTGATTATTAATGTCCTTGATGTGTTATAGGAACACTAAAGTACTTGGGTAATGATGATAATAATGAGAGAGTAAACTCTAGAGAAGCAGTCTTTAGGAATAGATGAATATAGAATAATGCATGCATGTTATTTTCAGTCAAACTTCTGTATATTTTTTTTTGGTCTTATACTCATTTGATGATGGTAATGTTTCTATTGCAATATTGGATTTTTTTTATTATTTATATAAATATTATTTATTTATCAGTATTTAATACACAAGAAAATAAATATGAAGATTTAGTTTAAAAAATTATCAATTTTTTTCTTATAAAATAAATATTAAAGGCATTGATTTTCCATAATTATTGACATTAAATTATAAAATTTAATAATAGATATTTTTGAAAAGTAAGAAATTGATAACTATTCATTTATATTTATATGGAGATTAATGAATAATCATATTATACATGTCTATATTTGACTTGTGAGGAATACAATAATGTCATTTCCACCTATCACAAAGACTTGGAAGGTTTTATTGGAACACAATTTTATTTCATCTTCTGTTCAAATCAATGTAAATTTCTATTATTCATTTGAGATTGGTAGAAAACAAGAAATGACGATGATGTATTTTTCGTAAATTTGAGTAAGAATATAACTAACTACCATCATCCATACTGAATGTTAACATATTATAGATCAGTGTTTCTCAACCTTTCTCTCTTTGTGGACAGGTAAAATTATGGGTAATTTTACATGGACCAGTAATTAATGTGACTATGAATTATCCTTATTTATTATACTGTATGTGCTTATCTCTTATCTAGAATTACTGTATATAAAAAAAAAATATGTATAGTAGTAACTCTAGATTACTGTTTAAATGTCACTTGTAATCAACTGTGCCAGTGTCAATATGGCCAAATATGTTGCTGCAAGCCAGTGAACTTTTTCACGGACTGATGGTTGAAAAACACTGATATAGATGATAATATTTATTATTCGTTATTTGTTAATTTTATCATATTCCATATGTATAAATGATTTTATTACAAAAATTCAGAAGGCAGATATTGCAGCAGCTGACTTATCTTGGAGTCCAGAAAGAGCAGAAGTTGTTGAATTTACTTTTCCTATTTTTCCTGAATATGTCACATTTGCATATAAAGCACCAAAATCATTAAGTCGAGCTTGGATATTATTTGAAACATATTCTTATCAAGTATTGAAATTTTATTTTTAATATTGCAACATTATATTTTATTATGAGTTTTAGTTTTTAAAATACTATTTTTAATTCTTTTCCAGGTTTGGATTTTCATAATAGTTACCAGTTTTATTATTGCTGGTACAATATTTATTTCATTATTCATCAATCAGAAAATAAGAAATGAAGATAATTTGTGTATTTCAAACCTTGCTGGCCATGCTCTTAATTATGCATTTAGAACATTAGTTGGAAAAAGTAAATATTAAATATACTTCTAAAATATTTTTATTATTTTTTAATTTCTTAATTAATCTGCAGGTTGCAATACATTGCCTAATTTTGAATCTGTTCGATTGATTATTGGAATCTGGTGGTTGGCTGTGGTCATTTTCACTGCAGTTTACAGTGGAAATTTAACTTCTTCATTAAGTGCTTATAAAACAGAGCTACCAATTGATGATTTGTTTCAAGTAGCAAAAAAATATCCTCATTTTAAGTTTGGTGTAAAGGAAGGATCTTACTTATCTTTTACGGTAAGATTTGCAAGTTTTTGATTACAACTTTAAAAATTTAAATATTAAATAACACAT